AATTCAATGAGTGGTCTAATGCTTTTGTCCATATTTGTCTTTGGGGAAATATTTTTCTAGACCCAGTTCATCAATTTATCAGTTTGTTTATCAGTGTATCAGGTTGTACTGCAGTACAAACAGTGAGGCATGCCCTCACTGAGCAGAGGCCTGCAACCTTGGGCTGATGTGCTCTCAGTGTTTTCTCTCCCTATTCCTGCCTGTTGGCGTCAGCTGATAGAGGTCTTATAGAGCTCCTCCTGTTTTATCTTGTTATGCAGCATGTTGATTATTCTCTCAGAACTAGCAGAATACCGGGGTCTGGGGTAGAGCTCTTCAGAATTGGCTTTGGCAACCGCTGTGACACCTCAAAGCTCCAAATAAACCATCAGTGTTTGCCATCAAAGTTCCTGCTCTCCCTGTGTCTCTCTGAGTCTTGTCTCCATTGCTTCAGAAGTTTCCATCACAGTAGGTGCAGTACAAATCTATTTTTCATTCTTATATTTTGACACTGATTTTTTTGATTAGGTGTGGACATTTATTTAGTCGTCACATTTTTTTATTTTATTTCTTAAAAACTGCACAGCACACAGAGTGCTAATCCACTTAACCCTTGTATGGTGTTCGGGTCTGTGGGAAGAACATATATCAGAACACATTTTCAATGACCACCCACTGTACACCCCCCCCCCCTACACATTTATATTACATACAGGGTGTTCGGGACACGGGGCGAACAAAAACCGGAAATTGTAGGTCCTGGGCCTTCTCTGTGTGTGTGTGTGTGTGTGTGTGTGTGTGTGTGTGTGTGTGTGTGTGTGTGTGTGTGTGTGTGTGTGTGTGTGTGTGTGTGTGTGTGTGTGTGTGTGTGTGACTTTAGTGTTTCTGCCCCTGACATTCCCGCACAAGGTTGCAACATTGTTGATCAATTCAAGCACCGACACCTGAATGCTTTCACATTTTTTTTTCACATTCTATCCCAGCTGCACATTTGGGGAGAGACCATAGACTGTATATGCTTTGCCAGTTTGGGTCCTTATCACAACTGATCAAGATGGCCAAAAGATTCTCTGCTCAGAGGGCCTTTCAAATGATTTTGGAAGAGACAACCATTTGATGATGATGTATACTAGAGGAAGAGGAAGATGTTTCAGAATGTGAACATCACATTTCTGAGAATTCTGAGTCTGACAGTGACTTTGAAATAGAGGATGAGATTGAGCATCAGCTAGTTACAAAAAAAAGACGAGCCACAGGACCAGCCGGTCAACGGGCAAAAAAAACAAGTAGCACTAATTCATTAATGTGATCTAACAAATGTAAAGGGGCAAATAACAAAAATATGAACACCACACAAGGGTTAAGCAAACAGAGACAATTAACAGTGATAAAATAAAGTTATGGTTCAGCAATGTTGTATCTCATTTGGTATCATTATTAAATTGTTGAATATTATTAGATACAAAAAATATATATATATATATATATATATATACACATTGTACAGTATAAAGACCATTGAAAAAACGATGTTGGTCCACCAATAATGAAACCCATACAAGCTATTGTAAAAATCACATATATAAGCAGACTTACACGATAAAAACTATATTCATATCTTTGGATGTACAGTACCGTGTCTACTGCGGAAGCGAGTCCTCCTCTTCTCCTCTGACTTCATCCTGGCTTTAATGTACCCCTGACACCTGTAAAGAAGAACCACAGAGTTTGTGCCACAGAGTAATAATCACTTCATCCCCATATAAATACTCCTCTAGTCTAATGTTCATCCCAGTCTTTTTCATCACCTTCTTCTCCCTCTCAGAGGTCTCACCCTATAAACGATTTGAAATGATCAGCAGAAGACACTTAACTAACAGGTTTACTGCCCTCATGACAAAAGGTGGATAAGTGAACACTTTTTTTCCGCCAGAAGAAATTGCTGCCACATCACCAATCATTTGGTTTGCAAAGACATCTCTGGCGGAATAAGTCATTCTTTAAGTAGTCATTTTTGTCCTTGCACTTATGTAATTCTTTTGTATTTACTTCCATTTCCTTGCTTTTATCTCACTCACAGTCTTACATATTCATGGCTTTCAAGGCTTAGTCTCCATAGAGAGAAAGAGTATGGACAAAGGTAGCTATGGAGCATTTGCATCTTCCATGTAAAAAACATACCATGTCATCATCGGATCAAAATGTGCTGATACTTTAAAACATGTGCCTTAGGAAAGTTTATATATTTAAAAGTTAAAATATTTGATATGCCTGTTTAGGTTAAGCAAACCTTTATGATATTTACACTTAAATGAACATACAGTATGTGATAGAGAAAAGTAAGTTAAAGCAGGCATTGTTACTTTTCATACATCATGCAGGCTGGCTCTGTACTGTTTTGTGTGGCCAATTCTTGGCAGCTGATAAGGCTAAAACAATATACAAATTAACATTTACATCTCTGTAGTTTACTCAGGACAGGAACAGGTTTCTGACAGACAGATCTTATAAGCTGTGATGTGGTATCATATATACAGTAATATTGCCTCCAATCTTTATAACTATCCGCAATGTTCACATTTTAAGGTATGGTAAGGACAGACTCCAGAAATAGAAGGAGTGTATATCCAAGTAATGCAACTTCCAAGAAATTCAACCCATTACAAAAGTACATCCATTGCATATGTTGAGATAAGGAACACACACAAATCTTCAGGATGGATGATTGCGAGATTGCATTTTTGCCTCTTTTTCTCCCAACACTGACTGTCTATCTGCATGAAACCAAAGCCCGCTCAAATGTGATTAGTCAATGAAACTGAGATTATAAACGGAGGCCAAAGCGCATTCCATCACCAATTTCTTGCTCCTTTGCATGGATTCTGCATTGATATGCAGAATCTGTTTATAGACATCATCCGGGAAACACCTGCATCTTTTTTTCTTTGTGAGACAGTTCATATTATGATTTTTCAGCAAATTAAGTTTGCACATTGTGTTTTCAAATAACACTTAATCTTATACCATAATAAGGTATAAATTCAGACAAATTGCATACAGATTCTGCCCCATTATTCATTGTTTATGAATACGTATTTCCAGTGGTAAAACCCTGTGAACCAGAGGCAGACTGAGAACAATGGTCTGAGCTAACCTGTGGAAGTTAATGGAATGCAGCAAACTGCTGGTACATGCATTACACGCTGAGTAATTAGGCAGAAAATTGGTTCAGCCATTTGGAAAATAAGAGTGTCTGGTCGGTGGCAAAAAGAGAGTCCATTAACAGCCTTCTGGTTGTAGCGTCTCTCTGGAGATTATGTGAATCTGAAGTGTGTGTGTGTGTGTGTGTGTGTGTGTGTGTGTGTGTGTGTGTGTGTGTGAGTGTGTGTGAGAGAAAGAGTGTGTGTGTGTGTGTGTGTGTGTGTGTGTGTGTGTGTGTGTGTGTGTGTGTGTGTGTGTGTGTGTGTGTGTGTGTGTGTGTGTGTGTGTGTGTGTGTACAGTGTTAGCAATGAGCCATCCCCAAAGAGCAAGAGGGTTTTTTTTACCGTCCAGTGATGAGGAGGAAGAGTGTTAGGATGACCAACAGGGAGAAGCCTCCTACAGCCGCTGTGACCACCACCAGAACTTGACCCTGATCAGCGATATCAGGATCTGAGGAGAGTAATTACAAAACAAGACCAACACAGTCAGCACGTGTTAATAAAACCAGCTGTCTGCCATAGTTTACATTTTTACATGAAGTCTGTTGGAATCAACAAATGTAATTAGTAATAGAAACTCCCATTTTACATTTAAGATGTACTTTTTGAACATTGTTGGCCTTCCCGAACTGCTCGTATAAAATGCAGCGACTGTAAAAAGGAAACTTTTGAAAAAGGTCTAAATCAGTGGCACTACAGTACTACTAATGGGTAGAATAAGGTGAGAGTAGATGGCACATTTGTAGAAGCAAGATCTAAGTATATAAATGGGAGTGTAGGTGGACATTTACATATTCATAACCTAAAGTGTGTATCTTGTAGGAGGATGTGCGTTCCTGCATATTTCAGGATTAGAATCAGCAGAGCGTAATATGTGCATCAAGAACTTACAGAGCTTATACACATTTAAATAAATGGCTCATGCCTGAAGAAGCACTGATGAGTTCCACTGATCCATAACAGAAAATGACCATAAAATGTCTCTTGGGATTTTATAAGGTTGTTGATCATCACTGATGACTTCACAGCCTTGGCTTTAACACTCTCCTGTGCATTGTTTTAAAACGCAAAATAATACATCCATTACATTTTCAAAACAAATCCTACTGACTGGACGGCTAAACGTCATTGTTGTTAGTCTGAAAACACAGCCAGTGTAAACACAAACAAAGACACAATTGCCTCATGCTCATTCCCTCGAAGTCATACCCTCAGCCGCAGTAGCAAACTCAAAGTTGGGGCTGTACGCTGTGTAGCCAGCAGCAGTGCGAACGCGAACGTGGAAGACATAGACAGTGGAGGGTCTGAGGCCTCTCACCACCACGCTGGGGTTTCTGGTCCGTGTCGATGAGTAACTCAGCTGCTCTTGCTCCTAAAAAGATAAAAATTAGCAAGTTTAGGCCGGAGACACAAACAGTGATTCCATAAACCCATTATCAAAGCAACATTTGAACAAAGCACAATATTTTCATCCTTTTGAGCAGATGGTGAATAAAGTCCAGAAAGCAATACATAATGCAGGCTCAGCATTTACGTACGGCTGCATGCTAACATGGACATTGTTATCTTTGTATGTAATCACTTGTGGTGCATTACAGTGCTTGAATAACTAATTCAAACCATTTAACACCAAGGAATTTACACATAAACGTATTAAAGAAACTTTCAAACTGTCTTTTAAAATATGATAAAACACTTTACCTTCTCAAAGTATTTGACTTCATAGTCCACTTTGTCTGAGGGAAGCTGTTCAACTTCTGACCAGGAGAGGGCGATGCTGTTTTCAGAGGCCCAGTCTTTCCTGACTACACCCACCAGAGCAGGACCTGCTGAGGGTACATTCAGAGATAATAGGGATTTCAACTCTGAAAACAACATAACGACTTATTTTGATTAGTGACTGAGTTATGTACTAAGAGTGGTGTGCCATAGAGTGGTACTCCTCCCCTGTCACCTGTCGGAGAGGTCTGGGGGTATGAGGAAATGAGCGATTGAACAAAAAGTTTCAAAGCTCCAAACTGAAAAAGAAAAACCCTGAAATATAAAACAACCTTTGAGAAATGTAAGAACCTTGTTGTAGTTTGGAAGATAAATGGTTTTAGTGTGTTTCAGGAGGGCCAAGAAAAACAACCATAACACTCTCCAGGTCCAGTTTGATGTACGGCTTGAGAGACACATTTTTGCTAACCCGACCACAAGACCTGCAGCTACAGTTTGTCATGTTTGTCATTGCTTCTGAATTTGAGGGAATAATTCGGACAGGCTGCTGAGGAGACACAAATTACCCAGCAGAGATTCAAATATTTCCCATCCATTATTCATAAAGCTTCCAGTTGAACAGAATATGATTTGGCAAACTACTACATCCAGTCCTTTTGTTTTCGGTGTGCGGTTTGGAGATCATTGTTGGAATACAAATTAAAGCCAGGTTTATGTCTTTAACTATCCACATGCACACATAACCAGTACTAGTATACACAGAAAGCCAGAGACAGAATGTGGCACTTCACGGAGCCAACGTTTGGCTCCATCAAGCTGGATGTGTTGGGCTTCAGTTGTGACTTAAACATTTTGTCAAAAGGCCAACATTTTCTCACAGCAACTCAGCCTAGACACGCCCCTACACAGTCTAACAAGTCAACCGTATCGACTTGTATTAAAACAAAAAAGAGGGCAGAGAGAAAAATGGTGCACATGTGAAGAGAGATTTTGATGCTGACTATAGCAAATACAATACAGTCACAAGCAGACTCCTGATTTGAGTCTGTTTAAACGTTTATGAACCTTAATGTTAGTGACACAGCACCACAAAACCTTGTTATGACAACTCTTGATAACTGAATGAAGGTTTGTCATATCGAGTAATATCTTACACTTCTTACATGACTATCATTGGACTGCACTGCCTATTAAACATTTTGCCCTGTCATCCATGTTATTCCCGGTAACATGTGCCCTCTCTTTCCAGGTGGCAGATGGTGTCTGAGCTGAACACAGCGCCTGGAGATGTTGAGGAAAACCTCTAGCCTCTGTCTGTACCTGCTGCAGTTATTAATGGCAAACAGCAGACACACCAACAACACTATACACACTATGTATTGACAGAGCACTGCAGTGCAAAAGTGCACAGGCGAGGCAAGGACAAATTGAAGGCAGTTGCTTTATGAATGTCATCCCTAGCATTCCTGAAGGATTCAGAATCATCATGACCAGCACAGTATCTGCTCAGGCATTATTCCAAAGCTCACAATGTTAAACGACAGTTCCTATAAACAAATCTAACAGCAATTTATCAAGGTGAAATATCTGACAGGTAGCTAAAAGCCATTCAGATTTTGTAGTGAATATATTTTATAATTTCCGTCTGATGATGTAGGATCATATTGCCAATACAATGGGAGCACTGTTATCCAAAACCAAACATTTTTAATTAAAAAGCTCCACTGACCATCAACAGCTTGATGACTAATTTACTGATTATTATCATTATCAGTTTTTAATGAAGTGATATAAATAGTTTACTTTTTTAGAAAATGTGTAAGACCAGAAGAGAGTTCTACAGTTGAAATCAGGGTGAAACTCATGTTTTGTTATTAAATAAATATTGTACAAAATAAAACAGTTATGCATGTGATTAGTTTTTACATTTATATGAAAATAATGGGTTCTTACATCTAATATGCATAACCCACTTGGAATAACATTTCCGTGAGAATTACACTACCAGAGGGGATTTCTGTCTGCAGCAGTTTAATATTATGTATCTATCAGCGTGTGTGTGTGTGTGTGTGTGTGTGTGTGTGTGTGTGTGTGTGTGTGTGTGTGTGTGTGTGTGTGTGTGTGTGTGTGTGTGTGTGTGTGTGTGTGTGTCTCACTGTGCTTCAGGAGTAGAGTTTTCTGTGCGTGGATATATTTTCAACGTGAGAAAACTCTCTAAACACCCTCTGAACTCTTATGCAATAAGCTGAGTTCATAAATCAATAAATCAATGGGCTGGTTAGATATCTGATGCTTTGTAGCTCAAAGAACACAATTAGGGTCATTACAGTCCAATCACCATCCACACATCAAAAGATAATTGAGAACCCAGTAGCTGTGTAGTTGATCTATTGGCAGCATGAACAAATAGGTTAACCCTGAACTACAGATGCTAATAATAATAAAAGATGAGGGAAGAACAAGAGAGGGAGTGAGAGAGAAAGAGAGTGAGATAGAGAGAAAGAGTGAACTAGGAGAGCTGTAAAGAATTCCCACGGGCTTGCATCTCTCCAGCATCTGAGCATATAAATAGACGTCAGCCTTATTCCCAGAGCAAAGGAGATGAAAACAAGAGAATGCACTGGGGGAAAGGGGAAAAGAGCAAATGTAAAAAGAGAGAAAATCTCCTGAATCAGGACACCACCAAACTGTGGGAAATATTTACACGTGTATTAGGCATGTGAGAAATGTGCCTGACTATTGTTGTAATTATCTAATAAATACTAATGTTGACCACAACCAGAGCCAAGACCATTTCTGCTTCTACTGGAATTTGAAGTTAAATACAAAAAATGGACAAATAAATAGTCAGTCATTTCCAGTATGGGATGGACTTGAGGTCCATATGAAATGTAATAAACATCTCCACAGCAACAGCTCATATGTACATTTGTATGTTGTGTAAAATCATTTGTATTCATTTTTTTAACATTGTTATTCAAAGCTGATTTATGCTAGAAGAGGGATTATAAAAAATTTGTGAGAAATTGTTGTCCTATATTTTGAGAGATAAACCTTTTAAAATATCCAATGACCCAGAGCACCAAGCCAAACTGAAGGTTTAAGAAAAAATACTGAATTATTCATTAACGTCTGGTTGCTAACTTTCAAATCATTGCAAAGAGACAACTATGAACTAAACCAACATTTTGATGCAACTGTAAACCTGTTATACATGTGGGAACACAAACTGTGGTAAAACAGCACCAAATGATCGACAGTACCATCAATGCCAGATACTGTGCCCAATGTCCATGTTAAAAAAAGGTCAACAGCATCTACTGACTTGTCTTTGATTGGAGGGTAATCTATAAAATTCATGATGAACTTGGTGCATGAGCAGCTAGTCCAATTAGATACCATAGGCAATATACTGTATGCACACTTATGAATGTAGTAATGCGACCTCTGTAGCAGCGTAGCACAAAGCAGTGGAGTCCGGATAAAACTGAAAGACAATGAGCACAACTCTGCAGGGATTTAATCATTCAAACCAGCAGTTGTTTAAATTAGATTATTTCAGCAAAGGATCAATACATCATTCAATCTCACATTTTGCAATTGATTTGAATCAATGAGATAATACAATTAATTAGTTTAGATTGTTCAGGGCTTCACAAATATAAAACCTAACCTGTACAACAAACATAAAACACACAGTCCAAACTTTCAGATTCTCAATAGGCACAATTTGAGCCTCTGCTAGGACGTGATCTTTTAGCTTACATAAGAATGACTTTTATCTATATTTGTGGTTATCTCTCTGCTCTTGTTGTAGGAGCACAGTTTTCCTTGGTGCAACAAACACCTTACACAAATGAACTCTCCTCACAGAATACTGCAGTGAACTTTGTGGGAGGAACTGTGGTGAGAAACGCTCTGCTGAGCAATAACTACAGTGTATTTTGAGTGGAGTGCAGTTGGCTGTTCATAGACACACAGATCATCCTGCTCACTCCGCTCTGCGTTGCTGCCTTGAAAGGCGTTATGACAAGGGATGACCTTCATCATCCTCAACAAGCAGAACACCAGCACTTTGAAAAGTGAGGAGGAGAGTGTGCACAAAGAGCCATTCAAAGTTATCAAATGTGTCCTCTGAGAATCTATGACAAGCTAAACAATTGAATGATAACTCCAGTATAACATATCGGCAATAACACACTTCACTCTGTCCAAAGAGTGACCGTGCATGGGCGTTATGAACTATCAAGGTTAGAGAAGCACACAGGCAGAAGGGAAGAGCACATTATTAGTAAGCCTGATTAATACATTTAGCATAATTAAAAGCATAATGAGGCAGTAATATGCAATTTACAAACAGATAGCATGTCAACAGTAAACAAAGTCTCCCCCCTTCTTCCAACGAAAAATCCAGTTAATTGCTAATTCTGCTTTTGATTGGCTATTATTCTATCGTTGACATAATATCACAATCAATTACATGAATCAACTTGCAGCATCTGCCCTAATTGTAAACGAGCCAGTCCAACCCGAGTCCATCCAAACACAAGCTAAGACAGGCACAGATTTACAACCAGCTTTTCTCTCTCAACTCAATGACTGTTGCACCTCATTTGAATGTAAAGTATGTTTTGGAGTGCTTGACAAGTGTTGTGCACTTAACAGACATACGGTGCTCTGAAGAAATGAATTAGATTTTCCAACATTGGTCTGTTTTTAAATGGCATCTTCAAGAAGATTCCATAATGTTTTCATCTATGTACAGCTGATTCCATATGCACATTACTTATTCATTTATATTTTAGGAGTTGTTGAGAATGTGGCACGCATGACACTGATATATACAGGTAGGTATATACACACACTCACACACACATGCATACTGCCTATATGGCTTATATATGGCACATATGAGTGGGAGAGAGGAAAAACAGGAGCGAACAGAGGGAAGCGCTGGCTGACAGTATGCAATGTTGTAGATGTTACATGGATAGCAGATGTCATATGTGCATGGATTTGATTGCCTGCTTGTTTGCATGCGTGCCTATCTGTGTGTGAATACACTGTGTCTACTGAGGAAAGGGGGTTTGACAAGTTAATCCATTCCAAAACATCCTAATGGAAACATCCCCACAGGCTGCTTTTCTCCTCTGCACAGATTATTTTGCATTCCAAGTT